TTTTTATGCGAAAATCAAGAATGTATAGACAATCTTGTCACAATTGGAAGCCACTCGGCACTGATCTCCAGTGGACATTTTCCTAAGGAATTAAGGTTTCAAAAGTTTTGTTTTCTGTCTTTTTCACACACACACCCCCCTTCCTCCTTGTTTTACTAATGTGTGATGTGTGCAGGTTGAACTAAGTAAAGTGTGAGTGTGTACATATGTCGAGCCCTGAGGTGAAGAACCGCCACATGACGGGCCACATCATACAGACACTCCAGACTGCACACATGTCATGACAATCTTTTGGTATTGTCTCCATACTTTGTCATTGAAGTTTTATCGATTTGTGCTTGCACTTTAGTAGCTTTTCCTTCTTAAATATTTCCCATTGCTCTAAAGCATGTTGCATTTGTAGACAACAGTATTGTAGGTCATTTTAATGTGATTCTTTTTTTCTCATGTATTTGTTACAGTAAAGGGAGCACAGAGAAAAGTATAGATCACAAAGAAAGCTGCCCCCCCCTTCCCTTTTTAGCCCTACTTTTCTGCAACATCTCAGGATTGTGGAAATTTTGTAGCCTGAAATTGAATTTGTGAACTTCTGGGACTTGGCATCAGTGTAAAGATTTGAATGACTTAAACCTGTTTGCACCGTGAAATGGATAAGTATTAAATGTACTTCTTAGTGATGTGATTTTTCTAATGCATAGTTAACAGTTCACTCTGTATGTTTGAAACCATACTGTTTTTGTATATAAATGGGGAATCTTATTTTGAATTACGGCTGAAACAGGAAGTCAATATTTCAGCACCTGACAGAATGCGATTTATTGAGCCACAGTAACCCCTCCTGCAGTTTTATTTTAAATGGAAAGCTCCACTGGACGGTCAGAGGATGATGATGTACTATGATATGTATTCAAGTCAAAGATCTGCTTTTTATATAGTCAGTATTTATATTCAGAACAATTCTGCATTGGGGCTATATGAAAATACTATTTAAATTTCCTTTCATGACTTTTTTGTCTCCCTCCACTCACATATTTTCATTTCAGGTACCTCAGTAGAGGCAGTGTTTTTCCTGACTTTGTATCAGTCTGAGAAAATGTAAACCTATGAGAGAACTTGTATGCTATTACTGCCTGCTTAAACAGTTTATCTAACAGTGAGCCTAAGACGAAAGACTTGTGTACTCTGAAAGAGCGATATTAACTTTCTGATGGCTCACTGTATATGGACCATGAAACTGAACTACTTTTCTCCTGTAGCTTTACTTCAAACTTTTTTCTGAATAAGTTTTTGTTTTTATTTTGTTAATGCATTTTGATGACTGAGAGTTTTGAATTTGTTCAGGACTGCTATGATATAACTTGTTAATGTGACTCGCCGATGGAATTAAAGAAGCATCAACACTCCTCCTGTCTGTCACAGTGTTATTGGGTCATTCTGTAACAGAGGTTTTATTATGTGAGGTTGGGGTGCAATGACTTCTACATCAGTACAAGAAAGCCTTTGCAGTGAAAAAAATTCTATTTGTAATTATGAATTTAGCTTTACTGTATAACGCATGTTAAAGATATTGAGGAAAGTGTAATTGCAGTATCAATTCTTAAATTGTTTTAATCTTCCATATATGCCTTACATCTATAACCATGAATTATAAGGTTGATAGAAACGTAGTCAGGCCACATGTTCATACAGTCATCTATTTTCTTGACCTGTTATTGCAGAAATGCCTCCCTCTTGAGGAAACAGAGAAAATGCAGTGTTTTTTTTTGTTTTTGTTTTTTTTTTCTTTTAAGTCAAGTCCAGTATGTTGAGCTGCAGTAGGCTGCATGACGGAGACTGGGGTAGGAGAAATCCATAATGGTACAATTTAAGTTAAATATCTAGCAAATTATGTGACTCACAATACGTTGAGGTCATGTTTATGAAATGATTTGCACAAGTATATTCAGCCATTTAATTTCCTTCCAGCTCTGTTTTTTGTCAGATATACTTTGGTCACCTCTCTATAGACGTTAATCTCTGTTCTGTTCACCCAGTTCCACCACTTTGAGCCACAGTGAAATGTTTTGACATAAATTATGTGCATGTGACACACTATCCATGTACATAATGGGTTACTCACAGACATTCAGAGTTCACAGGGGATGGATGCTAACAATACTGGTCGTCCCTTGACTTTTCCTTTAGTTCCAGAAGTGTGTAATTCAATGAATTTATTTTCCATGCACTCTTGTTACTTAGGGGCCTCTATAGTGTGATCTCTAGTGTGTAGCAAAACTAGGCAATTCTCTCTGCCATTCTGTAAAACATCCAGCAACAATATGCTACCATGCATGCATAAACATTTAGTACAAAACCTCAGTGTGTATGTACTCCCTGAGCAATTACCATGGCTGAAGACTCTTCAGTCAGTTGAAACCAATTGCTCAATAACTGTATGTAAGAGTTATTATTGTTCCTTTGTGGTTACCAGAGGCTTTGTATGTAACTGAAAAGTGTTAATGGCATTTTCCCAATTAGAGAACACAAGTAAGTAAAAAAAAAAACTTTCAAAAATAATTTATTATTGAATTAGACTTTCAGGAACCCCCCCTGTGATGCTCAGGAGGTTAAATAGGTTAGTCTGTGGAGGGGAGGAATGTTCTTATTGTCTGAAATGAGTGCTTATGCTCATGACTCAATGGGTTAAGAATTTGTCCTCATTCCTTCTCCTGTGTTTCTTTTTCTCTCCTTTCATGATCAAGCAGACGGCGCTCACAAGGAGAAAACGGGCTTGTGCATCTACTAACCCTCTCAAATCATCATCTAGATGTAACTGCTTATTCAAAGGAGAAAACTCATTAGAACGAAAAGGAAAGTTTCAGGTTGTAGTAGTTACCAGCCAGTAATACTGTATTACTGGCTGGTACTGTACTGTACTTCTTCCCATTTTAACATTTTTCTCATTTTCTTTTCCTTTTGCATTGCCTTTCACTTCCTCCTCTGCCATTCTTTCCTCACCCTTGCCTATCTTCTGCTCCTGCTTGCTCCCCTCCTCCTCCTCGTGACCCTTCTCCTCTGGGTCTCAGCTGTTGCATTTATGAAAACAAGACACTCGATTATGTTCAACTCATCGTTGTCCAAGCTCTGTCGGAAACCTCATAATTCCAGCACGGCTTACATCGACCCAACAACTTCTGATACGAGGCTTGAAGGATGATTGCACTTTAAAGGTGTGTGCGTTGTGTATTGTGTCAGTTGAGCTGGGGTTGGTGGACAATTGATCACCACGATTGGCTTGCAAACAACAAGTTGCCATTCTAAACATGAGTTATACGTCCGTCCAAGGGGAGCAGGCTGATTGGGTTATTCAATGCCCTGGTCCTGCTGTGGTTAAATCTGAAATGGAAGGGGTCTAAGTGTCAGTGCTGATTCTGTTTTGCCTGCTGAACATTACAGGTAATGACATTTTTGCTTGGACACGGTGTGTCACTTGGTCACTGAGATCGTTTTAAAGGTAGAAGGGGGGGGGGGTATCAACTAAGAAAGACCTTTGATGTTAACCTTGGGTTTTACACATAAGAGGCAAAATTATTAAAACCTCCCAGAACACCTTACTTCTACTTCTTACTATTAAACCCCAAAGCAAAGTTTCATTTAGTTCAATTAGTATTTTGTTTGTGTGTGTGTTGTTCTTTGTGCGACTGACACTGATTTCAAGTGGGATAGGGTTCGATGCATATTATTATTAGATACGGTTGTCTTTTCTTGCTGCTGCTCACAGTGTTTCATTTCTTTTGAGGGTTTTCGCTAATGCTAGCTGCTCCAGGAGACAGGTATTGTTATAAGCTAGTTTGAATCTCAGGTGAAACCAAGTTAGAGATTTGATTTTGAGAGACTGAATCATTGCAGTTTGTTGCATAATGGTATTCTGTGTTCATGCTGATTCGGCCAAGCCAACCCTTTTGCGTATTTATTTTGGTTTTTTAGACATTTTTTAAGACAAATTAAAATACATTTTTTCTAATTATATATTAAAATTGTTCTTGTTATGGCAGCTTATGCAAATCATATATTGGTGATAATGCCTCAGACCCACTGCAAATTAATTTACTGAATAGTTTTATTTTGGAGGTTGAAGGAGCTGTATGGTTTTCTCTTTTTTCTACCACCGTCTTTCTTCTATCACCTTATTACTTTGGGTATTGAGATTGCAATGAATTGCTGCCAACTGTATTGCTGTTAAAGGTGAGTTCCCTGAACATAAAACCAAGAAAGTCTATGAACAGCTTTCACCAAATCCACTCTACCTTATATAAAGGGTGGCTGTAGCTCAGGAGGTAGAGCAGGTCATCTACTGATTGGAAGGTTGGTGGTTTGATCCCTGTTTCCTTCAGTCTGCATGCCAAATATCCTTGGGCAAGATACTAACTATGCATCCATTGGAGTATGAAGGTGTGAATAGTGGATAGAAAGAATAAAAGAAAGTGTGAAATGGTGAATGTGGCATGTCGTATAAAGTGCTTTGAGTTCTCTGGGAGAGTAGGAAAGCGCTATATAAGAATCAGTCCATTTACCAATACAGCTGTAGGTTAGATGCAAAATTAAGGCTTTTCAATGTAATTAATAAAATTATTATTTAAATTTATTTATGTTTTTTAAAAATTTTATTGCACTTTATTTTAGAAATCTTTAAGCTTTAAGCTCTCACTGCTGTCTTATCCGTGGGCCAGAAAAGATTAGGTGCTTATGTTATACAGCTATAATGTATCTGAATCAAGAGGATGATAACGATGCTGAAACTGCATGCATCTGGGAATAAGTGTTGCAATATTGTATTTGCTTTTTATCCCCTCACACTTACATGGATATATGATGGGTGAGAGAGGAGGAGGAAGACATGAAGCTTGATCGAGGAGGGAGGGAGGAGAGTGACGGTGATGGGGGGGTGTTGTTGATTGTTTCTCATATTTCAAGAGTGGTCCCGCAGACAGATCTCCATACAAACCCACAGGGTGCTCGGGGCTCTGTGTGTCTGTCAGTGGAGCCAAGGAGGGTGGGAGGGCTTTCTATAACTCATAGATTGCCAGTTCCTCATCTTTTTCTCTCTTAATTATCATCTTTTTTCCCCCTTCTGTTTGTGCTTAACATCTCTTGCTTTGAGTCTAACTTATCAAGGAAGGTCTGCGTAAATATGATCAGCATCAGTTTACAGCACACTAGAGAACATCAGCACTGGAATTGAATCCAAACTGACATCGGAGTTCAGCTATTATTTCTAAAAGGTAAGAATATCATTTTGTAGTTTAAAATGTTTTGTGCTTTGTAACTCTGTATTTCCCTGTATTAATAGCATTATATATCCATTATATCCTGTGTTGTTAGTAAAAAAGAAAAATTAATTAATTGCAATTTAATTACAATAATTTGATGTGATCCTTTTGAAAAGATTTAGAGAAAAACAAAAACAAAAAAACACATACACTTTCACATAAAAAGTATTTTTGTGACATAATTTTAAACCAAAATTAAATCTGGAGTACAACATGTTGGTAGATAGTGTGCATCATCAACATACTAGGCCATTCTGCAAGTAAAATGGTTATCAGCACTTGTGAAATAAAACGAGCATGCTGTGATGACCTTGTAGACATGCTCCCCCATCCCTTCTTGTTACCCTCAGTCTGAATCAAATGACTCTGTTGTGTTTTCTCTTTCTCTCTCTTATGCCACATTTAATTTTTTTAAAAATATGTATATCTTTGCTACAGTTTCAGTGTTTAAAAGCATCTCATATTGTTCTTAATCCTTAATTTTCATCCCAGTGATCCTTTTGATGATTTTTATACTTGAATCAAAAACCTTATTCTTCACAAACGGAATAAAAAAAAACAAACTCATTTTTTTTCTGTCTCATTTTGTGCTCAAGACTTGTCAGCTTTACCTACCGAGATTTCAACTATTACCATTTTGCACCGTGATGTCCTCAGTTGTAGCCCCAGAAAAACCCACCTCCAACACGATGGGTCCAAAAGAGGTCGGTACAGATCTAAGACACACAAGGCTGTTACTGTGCAAAGGTCTCAATTTATGAAATGACTGCATTTGCTCTCTCATCTGTGTGACTCATTATATTGTACTAAACTATAAAGTGCTAAAGATCAGCATTATACAAATATGATGCTTTTTTTAAAGAATGACAAAAATGGTAAAAATAGTACAAATAATAGTATTTTACAGTACATTTTTAATACATCACCATGAATAACATTTCTTAAGGTGAATGTGTTTGTAATATTCCATTCTGCATTATGCATGATTGATTTTAAACTTGGTGACCCTTCAGGTGGAGCTGATACTTGTAAAGGAACAGAATGGGGTTCAGTTCACATCGACCACCTTAGTGACTCCAACTCCGACTCAGACTAACCCCAGTGGGGAGGAAGAGAGGGAGACCTGGGGAAAGAAAATTGACTTCCTCCTGTCCGTGATTGGATTTGCTGTGGACCTGGCAAATGTCTGGAGGTTCCCTTATCTCTGCTACAAAAATGGAGGAGGTGAGATTGATGAAGAGACTGATGTGAGGAAACTGTTTTTCTTTCTTTCTTTCTTTCTTTCTTTCTTTCTTTCTTTCTTTCTTTCTTTCTTTCTTTCTTTCTTTCTTTCTTTCTTTTGCCCCAGTCCAGGGGATTAGTCTGCCACATTGAGAGGGGTAGGAGGGCATAAACATGGTGACTGTGCTGAGCAAAGGCAAATAAGAAAAATAATGAAACAGAGAGAGAAGAAGGCAGAGAAAAGGAGGAATTAGTTACAGGCTAGAGTACTTTATGCATGCATGTACTACATGCACATGTTTGTGTGTGCTTCAGATCTGTGTGTATGATGGCCGTTGTTTTCGTCTTATTTCAATCCTTTACAGAGATCAAAATAGGGGAAAAACCACCACAGCTGTTCTGAATAGATTAGCTCTAACAATCAGTGTCACTAATTATGGCTGTTTAGCATAGAGCTCTCATTATGTTTAAGAGCTGTAAATGATGCTGCAGCTATGGTCAAGGCTAACACACAGCCTTTCACGTCGCTAAGTCTAATATGTATGTAAGGAAATATGACAAAAGTTCTGTCAGAGGCATAAACTTTATCTTCAAAGACAAACTACACTTTTATATATGAGCCCCCTCTTTTGAAAATTGTGTTTTCATTTTATTAGAATAGTCAATTATTGGAGTAAAGAGGGCTGTCTATCGTACAGTGGCAGTTTGACATAGAAAGAAAAATGTAAAAATACTAAATACTACATTTTCATAATCTGCGTTGACACTGCATATGATCCTGTAAACTGGCACTAAACTGATGCTGTTCTTTGAATTTACATGTGTGAACATGTCTGCAAGACATAAGTAAATAAATGTATTTATTTTTAAAATTGTGTGTGTGTGTGTGTGTGTGTGTGTGTGTGTGTGTGTGTGTGTGTGTGTGTAGGTGCATTTCTGGTGCCGTACCTGTTTTTCATGGTGATAGCAGGCATGCCACTCTTCTACATGGAGCTGGCTCTGGGTCAGTATAACAGAGAGGGGGCAGCAGGAGTCTGGAAGATATGTCCCATATTTAAAGGTAGGAAAGTAAAATGTATGAAGGTAAAATCAAATGTGACAGACCCTTGCTCACATATGCAAACACTCGAGGATATACGCACACCCTCTTAGGAATATAATAAATGTATCATGGGACGAGTTACATTTTTCTGTATGTCCACCTGCCTACATGGCTGTCTGTCTGCTAACATTCTCCCTTTAATCCCTACGTGTCTTTCTGTCTGCTTGCCTGCCCACATGCCTGCCTGTCCACATGCCAGTCTCTTTTGTCTCTGAGCTGAGCAGCGACAGGCATTGTTTATCCCTCCCGGAACATCAGGTTCTGCTGGCACTCACATGGAAAGCAAATGAAAATTGGGCTTTTAGACTTTTATTCTGATTGTCCGCATCCTTTTGTGTCACCCAGTGGCAGGTAACACTGGCTGATGCTTGTTCTGGGTACTTTTCAACACACCGTTAAGCAAAGCGCAGTTCAGGAGAAATGCCATCCAAACATACACTAATGGAGAAACAAACATGAAGTCCGACTCACGTTTCTAAGCAAAGTCATGAGTTGAAAATATAATGATACACTTTACTTGGCTCTGTTTTTTACGCTTTTTAAACAAGCTTTAATTTGTGTGCATTCATCCGTCGCTTTCTCTGAATTCCCTTTGATTTTTTAGAAGAAGTTACCTCTGATAACAGCAGACCATCTGTTGCTCCACAGTGAGAAGCCATAAGGCTGTCTTGTGTGGCATCGTGCCCTTGTTGGTCTGAAGGTGGCCCGCAGTGTGTACGTGTTGCTTCGTGTTTTTCGTCTATGTGTGTTCCTTGGAGCATGTGCCGTCTGTCAGGGACCACACAGAGTACGTTGACGTTCTAATCACACGCTTCACTCTCTCTCTGTCTCTCAGCAGGGGGATAACAGTAATTATTCAAATACACGTACACATGCCCGTATTGACAGTAATTATTCTGATCAAAAAGCTGGTTTCCTCCCAGGATCAATCCATTTGAAGAAAAAAGGACTTGGAAAGGGTTGGTGAAGGGAGATTGAGAGATAGCATGGCCGCATGTGGCGCTAATAAGAGACATGGCTCCCTGGACAAATATCACATCCACATTACAAAGAAATCAATAAGGCACAGTTGCAGTTATGCTTCCTAGCAAAGGTTAACATTTAAATACAGCCTTAGAAGAGTGGACATTGTTTCTGATTTACAGAAAGGGTAGATGGATTGATAATTAAGGCATAAAGAGGCAGCGTTTGAAGGTTGTTTCTTTTTTTGTGAGACTGCAGGCATGTAGCACTGGCTACTCTGGCTACTGTATACTCACAGTGTGCTTTATGGTGTGCACTAACAATATGTTATGTCTGGTCACAAGAAAGACAGTAATATTATTAGTATTAGTAGTAATATTCTTCAGTATTGTATCCTTAGTGTCTATGATATTCATAACTTATGTTTCCCTCAACAGGCGTAGGCTTTACAGTGATCCTCATCTCCCTCTATGTTGGTTTCTACTATAACGTCATCATCTCATGGGCAATGTTCTACCTCTTCTCCTCTTTCACCGGCGAGCTACCGTGGGTTCATTGCAACAACACGTGGAACAGTCCAAACTGCTCCGACTGGGCTGACAACGGCTCAGTCAGTGACATTTACAAAGCCACCCCGGCTCAGGAGTATTTTGAGTAAGTTGGCCTGATCTTCAGCTTTAGCACACTATTTGTAAGGAGTAAAAAAGGTTGCTTAGATAGTCCTGCACATGTCTACTGCATGAGGTATGATGTGTTTGGTTGGAGTGCAGTAATGGAATGCCTTTGCAGCCTAAATAGCTGAGATATATTATAACAGAGAATCAGAAATGCACAGTTTGGCTGCATTTAGCCAATATTGCCTTCCTTTATGAAGCTGACCAGGTGTCTCCTATTTCAGCAAGTGAAAGGGGTTGTTCTGCTGTGACAGATGCAGTATTTCATCCACGTTAGATAAAATGGCAGTGGGCTATTTATGCACAACCACCTGCAGACAATTTGACTATATCAGCTGAAAATTGGCTGATCTTATTTAGTCTCATCTGTTAGGCTGCCTCTAAATTTATGGATCAAGGCAAAAACAATGTCCACTGAATTTAGTCTTTAACGTGACACATGCTTGGTAACTATCTAGAATAAAGTAGACTTTGAACGTTGTCACCTTTAGGCAGTTTTCCCATCTTAGCTGCCATTTGTGATAATGTAATTCATTATAATGCATTATTTTCAGCACTTGCAACAGATGTAGCGACACTTGGTGCAGCATCTGGTCAGACAGCCTGAGGTCTCAAATCTCCCTTTAGGTGAAGCTCAAGTATCATCTTTCAGAAACAGGGACTGGATGTAAAGCCAATCTTATGAAGGGTATCTGGAGCCTAGTTTATACTTCAGTTTCTGATATGAATAATAATATTATAATGAACTTTAGTCATTTTTATCTTGATTGCAGCAGTTATTATGATTACATCTGGAATCAGTGAACCCTGAATATCCTACTCAGTACATACAGTACTGTATGTACTTTAGATGTGTGTGTTTTAGTAATGGTATTTTACGTCCTGTAGTTCATATGGAACATATTTAAACATATATTTAATTGGTGTTGATACATTTTCATGACAGAAATAATAAAATAGGTTATTTTTTTTCTTTTTAAATGTCTGGAGAGAAGTCAACAGAGGTGTTGCTTTACCTTCTGTTGCATATGTTCTTTTTATTCTTTTTTTTAAGACGCTAAGCTCTCGTCAGAAAAAAAGGGAACCCTTTGGATTTAGTGCAGTAACTATGGTAACTAAAAAACTCAGAAATTAGCTACAATGTTAAGCCCAGTGCAGACGATGGATTGGTGTCAACAATGTGTGACATGAAATTCTGGTGACAGCTTTTTAGGCCAGTATTCTTGAGCTCATCCTGTCTCTTCACACCTCTGTTAAGCGAAGTCTTTCTAAATTTGAATGTGCTCATACATACAAGACAGTCAGTGTACACTAAATGGTGATTTAGGAGTCACCATGCCTCTTGCTTGAATGTTCTCCTTTCTCAGAAGGGCAGTACTCCATATCCAGGACAGTAACGGCATTGATAACCTGGGTCGTCCACGTTGGCAGCTGACTTCCTGTCTAGCTGTGGTTATTGTTCTGCTCTACTTCAGTCTCTGGAAGGGAGTCAAGACTTCTGGCAAGGTAACATATAAGATAGCAGACATTAATTACTGTTATATTTGCAAAACTAAAAATCTAAGTGAGTCATGGTGCACAGTGACTTTAACAGCATAGCAGTCAAATGCAGCACCATCTTTAAATGCATGATTGTTCTGCATGCATGTATCTTTTTCTTGTGTGTATCATGTGAGTGTGTGTGTGTGTGTACCTTGTGTGACTCTTTCAGGTTGTGTGGATCACAGCCACAATGCCCTATGTGGTCTTAACTGTGCTGCTGCTCCGCGGAGTCACGCTGCCTGGAGCCATTGATGGCATTAAGGCCTACCTCTCCGTGGACTTCCTAAGACTCTGTGATGCCAAGGTGAGCGCCAAAAGAAGAAAGAGGAGACACAAGTGAAGTGAGAGTGACAGTGTTCCACAAGAAGAAGATATAGTATGAGGGGAAATACTGTGGCTTTATTTACATTTTCACTTGTATTTCCTGTATTTAATTTTTACACTTGCATGTAAAGAGACTCCAATACTAAAAAATGAAGAATGCACAACTACAACAATTTTTTTAACATATCATACTACTGTGCTTAACAGGAGTTCTCATGGCAGGGAATTGTAACTTGTACCTGTTGCTTGACATCCAATGCAAAGCCAGTGTATAGGTCAAAACCAACACATACTGCAACAACTAACGCTGATAAATTTAGCATTTAAAGTCCTAGATCTTGATGAATGGTATTCTTATCAACCCAAAATGTGATATAACATAATCCAAGAAAGTATTTTATAGCTGTAGATTTGTTGGCATAGTTATGGATTTTCTGAGATAAATAACCAAAACAGAAAAAAACAAAACAACAACTCAGAAAAAAGGGTAGAAAATACAGGCTGTATATAAAAGATGGAAGTGGCCATCAATAAAAGAAAGTCTAAATCTGTGTTTTATCTTAGTTTATTTTATTTTAGTCTAGTTTAGTTTAATTATGGTTCCACAAAGAGTGATTTAGACAACAGACCTGCTCACACACAAAAAATGTTGACACATAAAATTCTGAGCTCAAGTCCACAGATTAAGAGAACCCGAAACAGCGATAACAGAAAAAAAGCATAATGAAGTTTTATTTGCTTAACAAACAAGAAGCATAACAAGAGCATTGGGCTTTACTATTGCTATCCTCTATGTCTACTGTTAAATTAACCCTTTAATTTTATTGTGCCAAAAGCCTGAATGTGGAATTATTTTAGTGCAAGTAAACACAGCATTGTTTTAATTGCTACCTTCCCTGGAGGCAATAAAGAAATTTGAGAAAACTACTTGTGTCACTCATTTCAAATATTTTTCTTATCCATGAAACCTCCTATCACAATATAAATATCTAATTTAACTTAACACTAGGTGTTGAGGGTCCCAATAAATTCACATGCGTGACTAAAGGATTCATTTATGATAGCGAAAGCAAGGACAGAGATTGAGAGATGCACGGGAGCAATTGGAGAATTAGATTAGATAGATGCATGGAGCAGTAATTTGCAAAATTACCCCCCGTATTCACAAGCGTCTTTCATCTGCTGCTGTTGAATGAGTTTCCTGCAATTATCTCTAATAATGGCTTTTTTCCTCTCCTGTGCCTTTTGTTTGCCGCTTCACACAAGTGCGCTTGTTCTTTCTCTCCCCAGGTCTGGATTGAGGCAGCAACGCAGATCTGTTTCTCGCTGGGAGTGGGGTTTGGTGTGCTAATTGCCTTTTCCAGCTACAACAAATTCAGCAACAACTGTTACAGGTACGGATACACGGGGAGAGGCAGGTGGGAATTCACGGAGGCACACGGAGGTGGGGAAGCTGATTCTGCAAGCACACATGCAACATAAGCAGGTGAATTACAATAACCTTTGAAGCTCCTTGAAACCCTCTATGTCTTTGACACCAAGCTGCGCAGCAGACTACTTTAGATGTTACACCAATCAAAACTGTTGCACTCTTTGAAAATCATCTGCGACCCACAGGTGGCTTTTATCTCCCCCGTTTTGCCCTTTAAAAAAATGCTTCTGATAACTAACACTTCGAGGATTCCATAAAAGCATAAACTCGCTTTTAACGTACCATTTAACCTTAAAAAGGTTATTGCTGTTTTGTTCTTTTTTTTTTTTAATGAAAAGAACAACTCACTAGTTTGTCACATGATGCAAGATACTGAAAATCTGACAGAGCAATCTATCTAGATCTAGATCAGTCAAAGGTTTCCTAAGCTGATGTCAAGCTTGTACATAATTTTTTTTTAAGTGCATCCCTGATTCACAGCTGGTCTGGTCAGTTATGTGGATATTGACTGTTTGCTGGCTGATGATATATTGACAAAGTGTTTTACATTCTTATTATGGACTATCGTGTTTCTGCCTTCTTTTATTGATCCAGGGACGCCATCATTACCAGCTCCATCAACTCTTTAACAAGTTTCTTCTCTGGCTTTGTGGTTTTCTCCTTCCTTGGGTACATGTCCCAAAAGCACAACGTGGCTCTAGACAAAGTTGCAAGAGACGGTATGATTGTTTATTGTTGATTATGCAAAGCTTTTTAAACTGTTTAATTTTGAGTTTAAAATGTCATAAAACTGACGGGAAGGCTATAAGGCTGTTGATTTTGGCTAATCTACAACATCCATTTTTGTTCTACCTCCTCTTTTACTTTTATTTTATATTTGCTAGAAGGGGAAATAGTTTGAGCACTACATTTTGTTTTGCGCTGCTGTTCACCTTTGCTCTTTTTTTCATGGTTTTTGTGCTCTTTTAGGCGCTGGATTAGTGTTTGTCATTTACCCCGAAGCCATTGCAACACTACCCGGGTCATCAATTTGGGCAGTTATCTTCTTCATCATGCTGTTGACTCTGGGCATTGACAGTGCAGTGAGTATCCACACAGACACTCACAGTTACATCCCTTTGGTCAGCCAAATAGCATACCTTTTCTGTGCCAAATTACTGTTTTTCATTACTCTCAAATATATAGTCTAGGAGCAGTAACTATCCAAGCATCGACGGGCCTCTTCAGTGACTTAACAGCTCAGGACTGACTTTTTCTTTCTTTCTAACTGCTGTGTTTTTTGTTGTAGATGGGTGGCATGGAATCAGTGATCACGGGACTAATTGATGAATTCAAATTCCTCCACAAGCACAGAGAGCTGTTCACCCTCTTTATTGTTGTTTCCACTTTTCTCATCTCCCTCTTCTGTGTTACAAATGTAAGTCTCTTATTGAGGAGTCTGTGTTTAATGGCATGCACATCACGTTAGTGTGATAGTTAGAATTTATCCTTGCGCTGTGGTTAAACTCTAGTGTTTGCATACGTACAGACATAATATCTGCAAAACTGTCTAAAAACAAGGTAACAGTAGAAAACTTACAGGCATTATTTTCTTTCTCTCCTCTTCCTCTCCAGGGAGGGATGTATGTGTTTACTCTGCTGGACCACTTTGCAGCAGGAACATCAATTCTGTTTGGAGTGCTTATTGAAGCCATCGGTATAGCGTGGTTCTATGGTGAGAAAGATGGACTAAAGAAAAGAGGCAGGGGGATGATTTTTTTTCATGGCCAACAAAGCTGATGCTTTATTAAGGGTTTGATGAGAAATCTTTTCGCATAAGTCATCTGTGCCTCAATGCAACATATTTCTATTAGATGTAAGAATATTGCTGCCAGACAATCCATTCCTACTGGCCACTTCACTCTCTGACCAAATCTCTACCAAAGTCACAAGCATATACAGTACCTGTGGTGCTTGCAAGATGAAGACGAATTCTAATCATTGCCCGTGTGAATCTTTGTGCTCAATCAGCAGTGATGAAGAACTATGTAAAGGAAATTGTATCTTGGGAACCGGCAGGAATCAGCTGCCTCATATCTAGATCACAGGCTCTTGTGTGCAAGTCAAACTCTCTCCATGTGGCCAGATTCTTATGATACTCCATTTAACATAATTTTTGTCAATAACAAATTAAATTATTTGTGAATGACATCAGACAGAGGAAGAAAATAAAAAAAAAATTATTATATTTACAGGGTAAGAGGCACTGTATAGAAAGACACCTCTAGTTTTGGTAGGAGCTCATGAAGACAAATATTAGACCCCTGTGTGCTCTTTAGTGACCTCTTGTGGTTCTGTAGATAATTGCAGTAATGATAGCCATCTGGGTACCCCCCCCCCCCCCCCCCCCCCAGAGGGAAGGGGTAAGTCTATGTGTGTTTGATTTTTTTTTCATGGATTTTCACCGACAGCAATAACAGCTTAAAAGAAAAACAAGCAAATTAAAAAAAACAAAAAACAATAATTGAGTGGAAATTCTAGACCCTATCCGGAAACACCAGCAGACAGAAAAACAATTTAAAGGTCAGAGACTGAGTTTCTTGTCTAATGTCTAATAAGTATGACTATGAAGAGGTGCATAAAGGACTAAATACTAAGCAGGCCCCAGGCAATGAGGTCAACATATTGCCCCACTTTGGTGGGTCCTGACCTTGGCAAGTCAGATAAATCAAGCCTAAGGCTTTAGGGGGCCTTTTTCTGGCTCTTTTCCCCCCAATACTCTTGACTGCTGACAGAAATGCTTGACCCCGGCCACTGTGGTCTTTTGATCTGCACTCCACTGCATAAGTACATCTAGCAGTGCGGAATACCTGGCAGTCGTTCCGGATCTATTCCTCTGCGGTGAGAGATGCCTTCAGGACAGGAAGGCAAAAAGGCAAAATACAGCCAAGGAATAAGAGAAGCAAAATCATGACAAAGGTGAAAAATGGTGCAGCAGCTCATAATGGTTAGCTTTGCAGAATGACGTTGGTTAATGCAAATAGTTTAATGGTATGCTGTATTTTTGCTATTTTTACTGATACCTGATAACCTCTGGTATTACAGTTTTTTTTGTATTAGACTTAACTTTCAATTTAAATGTATACACATGGAGCATGAACACACACCCTGCGTTGATAATGCTCATACCAAAATTTCTCTTGGAATTGTGCAGAGAGAAAGACAGAGAGATTGTTCTTCTTATGCTCCAAGCTAATATACAGTACTGTAACTCTGCTTTTCTTTAACCATGTCATGGTAATATTGAGTATTTCTGTGTGTTTTAGGAGTGGACCGTTTCAGCGATGACATTGAGGAGATGATTGGCCACCGACCAGGCAGGTACTGGAGGCTATGCTGGAAGTTTGTCAGTCCCTGCTTCCTCCTGGTGAGTTATACAAACCCCAGCAAGTGAAAGTTAAAAAATGTGAAATCAAAAGATGCATAAAACTTAGACTGTAGTTTGATCTGATTCTCCTCTCATCAGTGTTTTTTTTATCATGATAACCAAACAAAGTTTGACTTTTAAACAGAGAATTTAGTTTTCCACAGACAACATGTGACCTCAATACCAGAAATAAAAAAGCATGTTTAATTTTGCATCTAAAAAAATCAACAGACCTGCTGAATGAATAAAGTAGCTTTTCAACCCCCATACATTAACCCTATCATTATCTCACTGCTTAGCTTTTGATTCACATTCACACTGAGTATAAATCAGATTGTTCATATCCTCTGCTTATGTCTTGCAGTACACTCACACAACTATATGTCAGCAGCAAAACACTGTTACTACAGCATCTTCTTCCAAATACGTACACAAAGGAAACAACTTTACTGGATATTATTATTCCCTAGTCTCTCATCTTTCCTGGGGTGGCTAAGGCATGTGATTCACTCATCATGAGAATGAATGATTGAGTTCATTTCTTACTATGCTTTCCATTTTAACATCAGCCACAAGTGTTGTCTTGCAATAATCTTACCTCCTTTTAATCAGTGGTTTTTCAGGTCATGTGTGTTCATAAATCTCTTTCCCATAGTTCATGGTTGTGGTGAGCTTTGCCACATTTAACCCCCCAAACTATGGCTCCTACATGTTTCCTGCATGGGCTAACATGCTTGGGTGGTGTCTGGCCATGTCATCAATGACCATGGTGCCTCTCTATGCCATCTACAAACTGTGCACACTGCCTGGAAAGTTTTGCGACGTAAGTCTATAAGCTCCAAAATCTTTTCAGATGATTCTTATCCATACTAATCTTCCATCTTTAGCTGCCTTTGTCATGATGGAGCTCTTTCTTGATTAATTAAGTGGAGTGTATGACAAGAGTTAATTACTCTTTTCCCTTGAACAGAGATTGGCTTATGCCATCACCCCAGAGACAGAGCATCATCTGGTAGACAACGGGGAGGTCCGGCAGTTCACTGTAAGAGTTAATTCAATCATACTTTATGGTAATTTGTACGGGAGCACAGTACTGTAATTTATTTCTTTGACGCATTGCACTTTCCCCCCCCCACAGTTGCATCACTGGTTGGTGGTCTGAGGGCTACAGAGAGAGTGGGAAAGAAAGAAAGAGAGAGAGTGCGAGAGAGAAAAAGAGAGAGGATGACTGCATGGACACTGAGTGAATGCATGCACAGTAAATGTCCAAGGAACAAAGAAGAGGAGAGCAGTTTATTTAAAAACAATGATAATGGTGGTGGGAAGTTTAAAAGTGCCAAGAAAAAAAACCACACACACACACACACAATGAAATCGTAGTGTTCTTTAATTTTGTGTGAAGCTGTGCATTGGACATCTCCACCATTTAATTACTGCTAGTGAATGGGATTCAGTTAAACAGTTCATGTGGTGTTCAGCCTGTTCTTTTCCATAAATGCAAAGGTCCCTGAATGCAGCTTGCGAAGTAGCAGTGTGAGAAATGTTCTTGGATATTTTTGCATTAGCCATTCCCAATAACGACCAATGAAAGCTCCAAGAAAATGAATGCTGTATGTTTAGATGCCCATGGACATTTGTCAACATGACAACTGTGGAAGATGTTGAGGTGCTACACACAAACAATGTCACGTTTTATTTATGTTGGTTTGTTTCATTTTCAGTTAGCTGATAAAGTTCAAACAGCATGTGGCCTTTATTTTCATTACCTTTATGTTTTTATTGTTGTTATTGTTCTGGGTGAAAAATCTTCAAATATTCAGCGCTCAGAAATAATTGAAATGCTGAGCGCTCAAAGTTTTACTGAATCCCAGTCCATATTATGTTAATGTCGCTATATATCTGTTTGCTGTTTCTGTTAAAAGACTGTTATGAAGTTAGGATTCCTGCAGAGCATATTTCACCAGGTTTTTACTTTATTTCCAATTCCAATATTGCATTAAACTAAAATGACATGAGAGTAAAAAGGAGCTTTTACTCTGAGCTCATTCACTTCGCATCACAACGTAATTCTTTAGGTTAAAAATCACAAAATACGCTGAAGATAAAACTGTCATTTATTACAGCTGCCCTGGAGTCACATGAGCTCAATGCCAATTCTAAAGTTTAAAAGAACGTACCGATAGACAAAAAAAAAAAAAGCATTAGCCACGCTGCTGATTTAATCGACCAAAGAGCACAGTGAGTTAAAAAAAAAAATTCAGATATCTCGTCATCTAATGAGAATATTTTGCCAAGGGATGTACTTTCTTTTAAACTGTACACAGCTCATCTTAGAAGATCATTAACTCTTTACACATTGTAACAAATCGTGTCCCCACCCCTTCCTCAAAAGTTTCAGGTTGTGATTTGGCGACAATGACTGTCACATTTCCTCCAGAAAGCATAAAGCTTTAATTTCACAGTTTACACAGTCTTAACCAGTATTTCAAGACTGTTTGAAAGCTGCTTTTTATTGAACTGCAAATAAATAGTGTGTAATGTAACAAACTGGTATATCTGTGTAAGTAAATGTAATGTAGAGAGCCTTGTATTGTACTGTATGATATTAAATAACTGCAAACACACAAACGCACATATATTCATGTAAGATTTACATACATTTTCTTCCTCTTGCAAACTCTTTCTGTTTAATCAGAAAACAAGTAATCCTTCCCAAACAGGTCAATAATGACTTGTTATCACTCCTTATGGTACATGTAACACTATGTCCCAAATTGTATGCCTGTGCTGCTGTACTGTGCCTTGTGGTGTTTACAACTGTATAATTTTGTTTTGTACTGTCAAATAAAGTATAATTAATTCAATTTAAATATACCTCATTGTTTTCTCTTTTAACCAACAGCAACAACAATAACGATAATACTTTCTTTTCCTTTCTTTATGGCACTGTGATGGCTTTATAGAAGTTAGCACCTAAATAATTTTTTTAAGTAACTGCTGATCAGTGAAGCTATTACTTTAATATTAAATAAAAATGATGTAATCTGGTATGATCATTAGGAGCACAAATGTCAGGGTTCCACTCGAACAATTTTGTGTACAAAAACCAGAAGGTTTATTGATCCCTCATAACGTTGTCTTCGGTATTCCAAAAGAGACATTTTAGCCATCTACCCTCCAGGCATGTCTGTATTCAAGTGATTTATTCTAACTAAACAGATAACCACTAAACTGAAAAACATAAACACAGCCCGCATGTTGTGAAAAGCACCGATAATTGAGCTCTTTCAAGATTGGTCAGCGTGACCCAGACTCTGTGGTGTTCATTACTGTAACAAGTGCGTTAGACAAATGGTTTCAGAGGCAGTCCACAGAAACATAATATTCCTTATCCACCAAGACAAACATTTGGGTACAATTGATGATTAAAAAGCACGATCTCTCAAAAGAAATCAAAAGTTTAACTTCCTGGTTATTAAATGACACTGTAAGGGTTGATTTGTCATTCAGAATGAAAAGATGATTAATTCACTGCAATTTCATTGTTTATTAGACTTTACTTAGTTACTTACAGTTTGCTAATTGATGTGTACTAATGATGGGAAGCACTAATGTAACATTCTACATTCTGCATTTGTTAAAGATTCCCAAATGTTGTTGTTTTAAAATAAATGTTTCATTAGTGTTCAGTGCATCTGTCCTCATTTCTAAGGCATCATATATCATAGTTTTATCAAAGCTTAGCATGTTTTAAAATTATTCAATTCATTTAAATGAGGAAATAGATCACGAGAGTACATGACATTTTACAATGTGTCATTATTTATTTAAAAAATCTAAGTCAAAATGCAAAAACAGCATGTGAAAGCTAAGCACCTCAGTTTTTCATGCAATAATTTTGCATTTTAGCTTAGTTTTTGTTAAATAAATGATGCCGTTGTTATGTATTGTTATTATGCAATTTTAGACCCTGCTAAAGGACAGATGATCTTTTTATGATTCCAGATATGTAAAATCTTAGAATCGACAATGGGTACACTTTATTCTTACCCTGAGTGTATATATAAATATGTATGGGACACTGAGCATAATGAAGAAGTTCTGGGAATCAGAATATGTATCTTTAAATATTTAAATTTGGCTAGTTTGCCTTCAAGGTTATTTTCTCAGGCATGTAGAGAAGTCCTGTTCATTAAGCAATTTCACCACAGACCTGAAACTTGCACCAAACAGCTTTTGCTCATGAAGAAACTAGATCATCATCCATTGCTGTCCATAAGAAAGTAGTGATCAATAGCACTATCACTGGTATTAATTAACTTCTACACATTATAGCTGGATAAACTGAAAACTACTACTACTAATAATGATAATAATAAAATATAAAATACTAGCAGGTACTATATATTCATGACATTGCCATCTATCCATGGGAACACAAGGCGGTAAATGACAACTAGCAGGTATGACAGCAAAATTGAGGTAAGAACTGGTCCTCAAATCCACAGTGGTAATTTGAAGATGGGAAACAGGTGTAGTAACTGAACCCAGGTGGCAAATGATTCAGCCACACCTCCAGCCAGAGCAGATATTTAGGTTCTTGAGAGCCCTAGTGCACCATCTGTATGGGCAGGGCAATATGGACCTGTAGAGCAAAAGGAGGTCTGCACAGACCCTCATGCTAACCATCTCATAAAAGGAGGACGTTTACATTGTTCTTGATTCTTCCTCAGTTTCAAGAGTATTTAAGACATGCTGAAGTGCTGTCAGTGGCTGAGTAGTAGACAGAAGTGGCAAAAGTACAGATGTTCTTTATTTGAGTAGAACTAAGTAAAGAATATCTGTACTTTTGATACCAGTGTCAAAAAACACTACGATAAAAGCTGAAGTGCTGATTCAAGTAATTGGTAATTTGGGTAATTTGGTAATTTATTCCAACATGTGAACAATATACAAGTACATTTAGAAAAGAAAATAAGAAAGAAAAAAATACTATACAAATTACATAAAAAAAAGTTCTGATTAATTTACATGTTGAAAGGGAGTGGGAAGAAGTAAACACTTATTTAATCCCACCCCTTTGCCATAAATGATCAGTTAATATTTAGTCAGCTTCCTTACTGATATAATTTGTAATAAAAACAGTGAACAGATTTCTGATATACTATATACTATAATATCACATCATGAGTTTTTTTGTCTGTTTGTTTGTTTGTTTTTTAAATAGCAACATTCACTTAATTTAAATATTTTCCTTTTCTTTATAGTTCGAGAAGATCATATTTTTATAACTCTTTTTGAACAGTTTTATGTTTGGACATTGCTTTAATTCCATATTCAGACTGTTCCATAGTTTCACTCCATGAACAGAAACACAAAAACCTTTTCTTGTAGTACGTACCTTCATTGTTTTGAAGTTACAAAAACCCCTTAAATTACAACTTCCTTCTTTCAAAAAAAACATACTCTGAATATTACCTGGCAGGTCTTTATTTTTTGCTTTGAATAGAATTTGTGCTGTTTGGAATTTCACTAGATCATCAATTTTCAATATTTCAGACTGCAAAAATAGTGAGTTTGTATGTTCCCTATAACCTGCATTGTGGATGATTCGAATTGCTTTTTATTTGAAGAGTAACAAGTGAATGTAATGTGGTTTTATAGTTATTGCCCCAGACCTCTGCACAATAGCTTAAGTATGGTGAAACCAGTGAACAGTATAGAATATGAAGTGATGTTCTGTCGAATACCTGTTTTGCCTTGTTTAGTATTGCAATGCTTCGTGATACTTTGGAATGAATATATCTTACGTGAGCTCTCCAGTTAAGTTTTTCATCTATTATTACCCCCAGAAATTTATTTTCACTGACTCTTTCAATATCAACACCTTTTATTTGAATCTTTGCATTTGTATTTAAACTACTATTTCCAAATAACATAAGTTTAGATTTATTCAAATTTAATGATAATTTGTTTTTATCAAACCAGGACTTCACTTTACTTATTTCATTAGTCATATCCTCCAATAAATTCTGCAGATCATCACCAGAGCAAAAAATGTTTGTCGTCAGCAAAGAGAACCATTTTTAATACTTTGGACACTTTACAGATGTCGTTAATGTACAAGTTGGAGAATTTTGGACCCAAAACTGACCCTTGGGGTACACCACAAGCAATGTCCATACATAAGGAACAACCATTTATTTTCACAAACTGCTTTCTGTCACTTAAATAACTCCGGACCCAATCTGAAACTACCCCTCTGACACCATAACGTTCCAGTTTTCTTATTAATATATCATGATCTATAGTGTCAAATGCCTTTGTCAAGTCTATGAATAACTCAGCCACATATTGCTTTTTGTCTATGGAATTTGTGATGTATTCTATTGAATCTAATAGTGCCAATGATGTTGATCTGCTTGATCTGAATCCGTACTGACTCTCAGTGAGTAGTTTTTGTTTATCTATAAATTTTTACTGTCGGTTTTTAAACAGTTTTTCAAGAACTTTTGAGAATTGAGGTAGTAAAGAGACAGGCCTGTAGTTGGTGAAATGGTGTTTGTTTCCAGATTTGTATAGAAGTATAACTTTTGCTATTTTCATTCTGTCTGGAAATCGACCAGTTTGAAATGATAAACTACAGATGTATGGTTTTATAATAGCCTCAATGACTCTTTTAACCACTATCATATCAATATCATTACAATCCAAAGATTTCAGATTTTTACAGCAAGTGAAGTGAAAAAGTACAAGCTCTGAAACATACTTAAAATAAGAAAGTAGAAATAGCTCCTTGAAGAATATTTCTACCACCTATTTTTATGCAAAGTTAGCTGAACCTTTTGCTACATTAATGTAATAGTAATGTAATATTATTAGATAGAGTAAAATAAAGTTTGTATTCCTATCTGTAGTACACAGTTTTGCCTCTTTCGTCTCTTTCTATGTGACATACCCTGGTGATTAATACAAGAACAGGACTGTCTTTCATACGTTACTGGATCTTATCCCAGCTGTTAAAACTCCCATTAACTTAAAAAAAATTAAATGTTATCCTCAGAAATTGTTCAGATTTTCAAAAATAAAAGCCTTCACTTATTTATCATTTTATTATGATTCCTTAATGTGCCAGGTTTACAAAATAAAAGCACACATTTTTCTTAGTTACAGCACTTAACTGTTTTTGTATCAACTGCTATCTCTACTGATCCTTTTTAGCCAAACAAGCACTTTTGTACATTTACATTTTATTTGATATGGACGTAGATCCTTAATATACCTGAATTTCTACGTTTTCATGATGCCACCCGACTTCAGTTTCTCGCTAGTGTTATCAGGCAATGACAGATATTTGCCATCAAGTTTTTTCCAAATGTTGTCAAGCAAGGGCAATTGCAAAGCAATTTTGGCTGTGCAGGGATAGGGTTTAAAAGGTGCCATTATCACATCCGATAAACAACAGCAATTATGTATAATTTCATGTCTTGCCACTGATGTTGAGATTGAAAAAAGACATACATATACACAAGGAAAGGTGGAAGAAAATGGAATTTTGTTGTTTTGATGTGCACTGTGCTTATATTATTTGGGCTTATTCTTGATATTGTGTCTAATGGGATATACACATTCTGCAACTTTCCAGTCACTTTAACTGAAACTGTGTAAACCTTGTGCACTGAAAGTATTAAATAAACATGTCTTTTGAAAAAAAAAAAGCTAGGAACATAATCATTTTTCCAAATTAAAAAAGAGGTACTTTTAGCTGCTCCCTTATTTCCAAAGGTTTGTCATTTCCTGATGCAGCCCTCTCATTTGGAACCAGCATTAGGAGTATACTAGCTTGTGACCACCTGAGGCTGGG